CGTTTAGTTTACATGTTTGATACTAATAGTTCATTTTTCAAATCTTACTAGAGAAGCTCCTTTATTGCAGAACTCTCCATATATTTTTATTTAACAGCACCGATCTCTCCATATTATCCTTATATGTAAAAGAAAACTTTTTCTAAAATCATCATTTGAGTTTATGTTCCTATTTTCACTATCTTATTTGTAAATTTGCATTATAAAAATAGAAGAGGTGTGCCACAAAAGGCAGAAGATGGGCCTTTTTATTTTCTTTGTTGTGCACGGTTCTTCCTTTCCCTGCGAACTCAAGCTTTTCATACGTGCTGAGATTATTGCAAGATGGGTTTAGAAAAAAATAAAAATACCACTTAAAATAGTAAATGATATAATTATATTATTCACTTAAAAAATAAATAATTATCATTTAATTAATAAAGAAAAAACAATTTAAAAAAAATAAGAGAAAATAAAAAAATCATAGTAACACTTAGTTATTTAAAATAACATAAATAATAATTTAAATTGTGGTTCAATTCCTTAGGTTTGAACCATGTGGTTTTAGACCTCGTTTAGTATTAAGATTCTAGAACCAAAATTATGACTGGTTTAAACCAGTATTTATTTATAAAAATAAAAAGTGGTTTGAAATCAGACCAATAAGTACTTTTCTCATCTCCCATCTCTCATCTCTCATCTCTCATCTCTCTTTCTTTTAGAAAACAATAGGAGGAAATTGCATTTAAATATGATACATCTGAATTTTAACGGGTAAGTGTCGCAATAATTAATTTAGGGTTTATCTTACAAATGATCTTGAGGTTTAGGCTCAATCCCATTTTAGTCATTAACTTTTCAAATGTTGCATAGTTAGTCATTGAGATTTTATTTTGTTTCAGTTTCAATCATTCTGTTAGCTTAGTGTTGAATATTTGACGGAATATGTAGAAATTAGAGACTAAAATTGGAAACATATAAAGTTTATGGAGTAAAATAATACAAAAAATAAAATTTAATTTCCAAAGGTAGTCTTAAATTTTTAGTTATTTCTAATTTTGAACCATAGTTTGTACAAATTCTATTAAATTTTTAACATCTAGTTAATAAAAAGACTGAAATTGTAATAAAATAAAACTTTAAGACTATATGTGCAACATTTAAAAAATTAGAGACTATAATAGAGTTAAGTGCAAACCTTATAAACCATTTGTGAAATTAATCTATTAATTTAAAATTTATTGTTTTTAGGTAAATTTTAGTATTTCCGCCTCAGCAGAAGTACGATCCACCTTCGTCCACGGCGCGTGGTACCAGATTTTTTTGCTTAATAGACGGACAGATCTAAAAGTGGGGCCGACAACCATTCCCCCACTACGGTAACCGTCACCGCTTGATCCGGCAGGTTTACATCCTAGCCGCACGAATTCTCATTGACGACCTTTTTGGCACAAATGTTTGTCTCTATTAAATCAAAATTTATTTATTTTCCATAACAATAAAATTAAATATTCATAATGGGACCAAACGAGGTCAGCTTTTTAAGTAGGAGGGGCGGTTTTTGAAGAGAATGGACAAAGGTAGTAGGGGGTTCAGTAATCTGTAACTTTAGGGCCCAATATTCTTCTTGGGATTGGTAAAACAAAATAGATCTTTATTTTTTCTAAAAACAAAACCTAAATTAAAAAAAAATAATAAAAATAAAAAACAAAAAATCCTCAGTTTCCCTTATAAATAGCACCTCTCACCCTACCCTAAACCTACACCTTTCCCTCTCTGCCAAAAGCCCAAAGCCAAAACCAAACCTCTCTTGTTCTTCTCTGCTTATAATTCTGCATCTCTCTCTCTCTACCTTTCTCTCTCTATCTATTTTTTTTGTTCTTTGTTCTTTTCTTCTTTTTTTTTTTTTTTTTTCCACTAAATATCCCTTTTGACAATTCCATATCTCCTCTCTTCTCTCTCTGATTGGGTGAGGATCCCAATCAAAAATGTTATCTTGTGTGTACGTTTGGTGGGTGTTTATGGATGGCCCTCTTTGTATTCTTCCACAGCTTTCTTGAACTGCATCATCTGAGAGAAAACCAAAAAAAAAAAAAAAAAAAAGGAAAAAAAGAGATCGGGAGATCTTAATTTGCATGTCCAATTAAGACTCTCTATAACTCATGTTTTAAATTATGTAATATCACTCTTAATTGCTTGCGGTTCAATAAAGCTGTGGGAAGATACCAATAGGGTCAAAAGCAAAAAAAAAAAAAGGTGTTCAAATCGGAATTCATGGCTCATCTCTCTCGGTACAGTTTCTTTCATTCTCTAGATCTTCTTTTTGCTTTCATTTTTATGTGTATAAATCATTTTTGAATCATGGGTTTTGCTTTTTGTTTTGTTTCCCATCATTATTTGGTTGCTTATGTTTGTGATTTATTTAGGTACGGTTAATTCGAGTTTTTAATTCAAACTCAGATAAAAATTTTTAATCGTAATAAAAAAAAATTAAATGTAACTTTTTATGAAAAATTTTAACTGTAACAAAACCTTTTGGTGAAGTTTTTATCCGTTTATCTATTTGCCAAACACCCAAAAAGTTTGTACATGTAAATATATATTGGATCTAAGAGAAGGGTTGGGAAGAGTTGATATAGAATAATTACTTTAACCCTAATCCTTCATATGCGATTTTTGTGCCAAAAAAAAAAAAAAAGGTTCGGATTTAAAGAAGAATCTGACATCAAGTGAAACAAGATTGGACCATGCATCTATAAATATATGTCGAAATTTTTCCTTTTAAAAGCAGTTGTAGTTTCATCTGCGCTTATCCCTTCCCTTCCATATTAGGTTTAAAACAAAAAAAAAAGAAAAAAATTTACATAAGCAGCATTATGATATTCCTCCACAGTGAGAAGAAATCATCATACTTTCATATACATCTTATATGTAAATACTTTTTTTTTTTCATCATTTTCATTTTTTGTTTTTTATTTTCTGAAGTTGTACTTCACAAACTTAAGGACCAATTGACCATGTTTCATCTTATGCATTTAAAAGATAACAATTTTTTTTTTTTTTTTTTTTGTAAAATTCTGTACAGGTTAAATATGTATTTAGATTCTCGTCTGACTTTTGCGTATTTTTGTTTTTGGATTTTATCTCTCTCAACCCATTTTAGCATGCTTTTTAGAGTACAGTGTCCACATGTATGTTCCATGCAGGCCAATAAGTAGTAAGTTTTTTTTTTTTTTTTTTTTTTTTTTTTTTTTTTTGTTGGTGTGTATGGATCAAAAGCCATTACTTGGTTATATTTTTAAACAAATACATATGCCTGTATAGGTGATCTGTACTTAATCAGTCGGTTCATAAAGTAACAGTACAAGCTAGTCTAGTCATTTAATATAATACATTCCACCTTTCAGATTCCATTAAGGTCAATTATCTTATCTTTTAAGTGACTATAATTCAATGCACGATCACTCTTTTGGCGTCTTTTTATTCGTCTGCTTCGCTGTTCTTTTTGTTATATAGTTAAGTGCTACGGCCATTATTTTACTTATTGTGTATATATAATCTAGGCAGAGTTTATAATGTACCGCAAATCACTTAATTTAGTGTTCCTTTCTCTTAATTTAGATACACATGTACCTAGCTGTGGCTGAAGTTAAAAAAAAAAAGCGGAAAAAAGAACAACTCAATTTAATTTAGCACATATTAAAGCAATTTTAATGGTAAAATGTTTATTTGGACCACTAGGTCTTCATAGCCTCTCTCATTATGAACTTTCACATCATTATTGGCTTACACTTGGCTTTCAATTAGCAACCAATTTTAGATCTAGGTAAGATGAAGGTTTAATTTTTGAAAAGAAAATCAATATAAGATACATAGCAATTAATTACCTAAGTCATTTACACATTAATGTTTCTTATATGTATATTTGTATAAAAGTGGGTGTCTTGATTGTAAAAACCTCTTGGTTTCTAGTAATTTGGTGAAATTGTCTCCAAAAAAAAAAAAAAAAAAAAAGGAAACAAGAAGAGGGGAAAAAGGAGAGAATTTAGGCTAAACTATGTTCCTGTTGTGAATTAGACATTGAAAAGTATAAAAATAAGAGTAAACAACCACTGAAAATGTTTTTAAAGCTAAATAAAAGATTAGTAACTATGAAGATTAGAGAGAATATCAAGTTAGGCTCTCAGCAAAAAAAGACCTTGTACACTTAATTAGCTAGCTAGGGTTTTCACTCACTCACTCACGCTCTCTCTCTCTCTCTCTCTCTCTCTCTACACACACATATCTCCTCTATCTCTCCTTCTCACTGTCACTGACTCTCTCCCTTTTCTTTTACCCATTTGAGTTAACGAAATTAGCCAAGTATCAAACCATCAAAAGCTAATCTAGAACATGACTTGCAATTAAGAATAACATGTTCATTGTCTTTGAAATAATTAATAAATAATAACAGTTCAGCCTTTTCATGTGTACAAGTGTATCAATCTTCTATGATCCGTACTAAGAGAAACGCCAAGAATATTCACTTGTCCCAGAAATGGAGTCATTTATATATATATATATATATATAATATATATATTTATGTGTGCGTGCCAATTCTATTTACAGTGTAAATAATAACTGGCACCTTTGATGAAATTAAGCTGGATTTCAATAGATTCGTTGGAGTTTTCACCAGATCTCTCCAATTCTATCCAATTAATATAGGCCAAGCTTTTTCTAGTTGTATTAAATATATTGCACCCCTCATATGATCCAACCACTTTTTTCTTTTTTTCTTCCAAAAAAAAAAAAAGAGAAAGTTTTAAATCATGTCTTAATGTTGCCCACTAATCAAACACACATGCTAATTGCCAACCTTTCATTTGCTGTGTTGAACATCTTTTACAATTTTTTATATTGGTCGATCGATCGATCAAGTAAAGAATGAGTTGTTCGATCCCCTTTCCTTTCCGTTTGTTCTTTTCTGCAATTATAATATTTTAGACTTTTGAGTCATTGCCTTGTTTTAATTTAAAAAGAATTAATTCTTGAAGGGCTTTTGAGCATGCTCATGATTTGCACAGGTACTGTAGACTTAAAGCAGAACAAGGAGGAATAAAGAATTTCATTAAAGTTAATCACTTCAGGTTAAACGCCGGCTATGTCACTTTTGACAAGTCAGAAATAAAGGTACGATATGTTTGTCTTACTTAATATTAGATTAGAAATGGCTTTTTGTTAAGGGGTAATGAAGATGGGATTATTTGGTGAAAAAAAAGAAAAAAGAAAAGAAAAAGAAAAAGAAAAAAAGGATAAGGTAAAAAAGTATAAATCAAGAGGGACAAAAAATTTTAACAACCAGAGTGCAATTCGGTTGATTTTATAACTAACAGAATATGCCTAAATGTGTCTCTGTGGGTACTGTTTTGGCTTATTGTTTAACTACATTGATGATAAATCCTTTTATCTCCAGGAATATTGCTATCTTCTCTTGTCCTCTTTGCTGGAGAAGGGGACAACAGTTAGTGCCAAGTTTTATAGTGTGTTGTGAAATGATTTCATATATTCTGCAAGGAATATTTTGTGATAAGTAACTAATGCAGTTGTGCAATATATTTCCCCAATAACTATCACTCCTTTTAGGCAAACAAATATGTGTATACACACTCACGAGACAAAATTTAACTTATACATACACATAGTTATTCATGTATCTTTTCTTATAATTGCATAAATTTTTCGCTTCTATATAGATCACTATTATATTGGTAATATATTTTATAATATTTCTATTTGTTCATTCTTCCCAGTTTATTTATTTTTTAAATATTTTATAATATTGGACATATGAACCCTCACTTGGAAGATCGATGACAAAACTATATATATATATATATATATATATTTGGGAATCAATTTGGACATTCCCTTGTTTTTCTTTATTTGTTTTTGTCTCTTTGTCATATTTTCAACCTCCAATAGATAATTCTTGTGCAACCACATACGTGAGTAACAAATAATTACTAAATTGGAACTTTTTACAGTGTCATGACTCTGCATGCGTTCATGTTACTATATAGATTCCTAATAACGTTTCTCTGTCATTGGTGATGAGCAACTTAGCTGGCATGTAGTTGATTGTAATGCACTTTGTCATATATATATAAATATAACTATGTGTAATATATCTAAGGGCAAAAGGGCCTGTGGTTTCAATATATATACAAGATATATCCAATATATATATATAAATATGCATATATACCGCTTGAATGGTTGAGCCATAGTTATATGCCAATTGGTGTGACGTGACTGTTCCACTGTTCCCCAACACATGGGGGCAGCATTATTGCTTCTCTATGCCATTTCTCTTTCACTTGGCCATAATTTCTATAGTACGAGTTCTTCCTTCATAGAAACTGGTTTGTTTTATTTTATTTTTAGTTTTTTCAATTAATTATTTTTATATGGAAGAAGTTATTTGGTTCGGAAAGTTAGGGGCTGTTCTTTTGGAGTATAACTTGAGTGTAGTTTTTGAGTTGAATTTGAGTTATAACTTGAGTTGAAGTTAGAATTTGAATAAAGTTGAGTAAAATTAAATAAAGTTGAAAGTTAAAAGAACGTAAACTTGAATAAAGTTAAAACTTAAGTTGTCTTTTTCTAAGTTTTTTGGACAAAAGAACATGCCCTTAGTTTCTAGCCTTTTCAGTTTTTTACTATCCTTGAAATAAGGATACTGAATATTATTACTCACGATCTCCCTCTTCTTCACATATAGATTGTGAATATTCCGTTCTTGAAAATGTCGTATGCTCTCATGTGTCAACATCCTTAGAGAAAGAAACTCGGTTGTGAAAGCTTTGTATAAGTGAAAGGGAAAAAGATTCTGGACTGAAGTACTGCAAACTGGTCAGCCTTTTATTTATTTATTTATTTTTATTTACCTCAGGAACCCAATTCTGCTATAGTAAAAAAGTGCCCAGAAATAAAAAGAAGTACAACAATGCATTGCTAAATGATTGGTCATTATTGTTTTGATGAGCTTTAAGAAGTTATAAATTAGATCAGGTTTCCGCAATGAATGATGTATTGATTATAAATTTATGTTTGATTTTAAGTTTTTAGGAATTCGGATCAAGTTTGTTTGGATTTGTAGTGGATATTCAAATGTAAAATCATATGTCTTTCCCAGAGGAGGACTTTGCGTGTTTGGCGATGTTTTGTTTTGTTTTTTTTTTTTTTTGTTCTTTTTTTGTTTGTTTGTTTGTTTGTTTTTTTTTTTGAAGCCTTGCCCTCGTAGAAGTTTTCCTGAATATTGCGTCACTAGCATGCCATTGGAAGTTGTACACACACAGATGTGGAGATATCGTATACATGTCATATATATATATATATATATGTATACAGGTTAAGATTTAAATCACTAAGAGATTTAATCATATTAGTCCGATCAGTCTTTTAGGTCTTCACTCTTTACCTTATCTAAAAGTCATGATGAAGGCCCTATTATATATATGCAGAGCTTCAAGATACAATTAGAGTTGCAATTTGCTCTATATATCTCTCTGTGTGTGTATGTCTTCTTTTATCTATGTGATGTGTACACACATGCATATATATATATATATATATATATATATATATAGAGAGAGAGAGAGAGAGAGAGAGAGAGAGAGAGAAGTCTTATCTTTTGCTTTATACGCAGGGCTTATAATGAAATTTCTAGTACATTGATTTTTTATCCCCCCTAATGAAAAATGGTTATAAGAGTAGAAGGTAGAAGGTGTGCCCAGTTGACTAGAGGAAGCATTGGATTCCCCTATCACATATGGATCCCTTACGAAGTGGAGTGACCATATACGGACTCACCGCTGTTCAACTAAGTTAAAGCCTACACTTTGATCACAAGAACGAACAACCTTACCATTCCATCAAATGTCAAGGTTAGTATAGTGAAATTTGTTCAAATTACATGTCAGAATATATACCATAGTACAGTATTAATGACTCATAAATATACTTCAAGCAGTACTACTGAAAAAGAAAAGGTAATGGAAATGCCTTCATACAAAGGAAAAGTAAACAAAGTTATGATCACCAGGTTTCTGCAACGTCCCCATATTACTAACATGACATATAGATTTAGGGAACGCTCGTGTTTTTCAGAAACTAAAACCTTTTTTCTTTCTTTTCTTTTTTTTTTTTTTTTCTTTTTCTTTTGCATATTCTTCGAAAGTATCGTATAAAAGCCTAGTACTTTGCAAATATTAATTGATTAGTCTCAAAATCCTGAAATTTTTTGCAGCTAGTTTTGTTTCCACATCTTACTGCAGAACTACTGGTATTTACATAAGATATGAGAAGAGCTTAGGACTCCTCAAGCCCTGAAAACTTGGTAGAGAAAAAGAGGGTCTCTAATGTTGGCCTTTTATACTCAGTACCAACAGCTCAGAATCACCATGCCCTCTTGCCTACTGGCCCTATTTTTAAATTTGTATTTTTACTTTGGACCTATTATATATATATATATATACACACACACACAGATACACATATCCATATATATGTATATGTGTGTGTATATATATATATATATATATATCTTCCAATATCAGACTCAGTATGTACTCATCAAAATCCTTGTTTGTAGAAGATTCCCTTTTCTAGCTGCATATATATCACTTATTTCCAACAATTTGTTTATTTTTATTTTTATTTTTGCACTATAAAACAAGTTTATTTATTAACTTGAGAGCTGCAAAATTTGTAGACCGTAGAGTACTAATATTTGGAATGGTTACATTAATGTTGTGTGTATACATATCAAAAGTAATTGGCGTCTAGGGGTGACTTATATTTATGTGCCCTTTATGCCTCTACAACTAATAATGGTTTTTGGTACAACATTGAAGGCTGTAAAATTAATTTAGCACCAAAAAACGAAAAATCGAAAAAGAAATTGGGAAAAAAGAACCAATGTAATTGCAGACAAAAAATGGTTTGGTGAACTGGCCAGCAGCAAATAACTTAAAGTTGTTTGGCTGTTGTGAAAATTGCCCAATAGGCTCTCAGTAATATTGCACCAATTCTGATCATTGTATGCTCTGTGTGTGTGTGTATATAGCAGAAGATTGTCACCATTCACCTGTACTAATAATTCTTCAAGAGCCAACTGAAATTTTTTTGCTCAAAACAGTCTTCTGAGTTTTGATGGCAGAAAAGGTATAGAACAAAGGGGAATACAATATATACTGCCAATTATGAGTACAACATAAAAAGTAAATTAAAATAACAGAGAGAGGAATAAGTAGAGAGAAAGTTATGTTTTTCTTAAAAGCAAAGAACAGATATACGTTGCATAATTGCATGATCAGAATTAGTTACATTATTGGATGAAAATAATTGTAGAACCATATATATATGCCGATTATTTGTTCACTATATGGTTGTAAATTTGGAGATAAGAGTTGAAGTTCCAAACTACCCAAAAAGGAAAATAGTATTGGAATCTCAACAACCATTCCAAGCTGATCAAATAATTGAGAACCAAGATATCATTTTTCTCTCTCATGCATATTTTAGAAGTATGCTCGTGCAATGCTATTGGTAATTTATGGAAATTATTGGTTCCCCCCCTTTTTCTTTTTCTTTACTTACTAATTGCTTATTAATATTCTTTCAGAAATTAAGATCTGATACAAAGATATGTACTATGTAGGTGTGTAATTTTAATTCATGTTATATATACACTACTACAATACAATATTATTGTACTCATGACAGATTGAATTGCCCATGTATAATAATTCAAAGACTATTTCAACACATTCTTTTATATATATATATATATTTAAAAAATGTTAACTTTACTTTTTTATCTTTTTTTATATTTATTATTTAATATGTAAATTTTATTATCTTATTTTCTGTAAAATAATAAATATAAAAAATGATAAAAAAAATAATGTTAATATTTTTCATATATATATACACTTATATATAGGGTGAGAGGGGGGGAGAGAGGGGGAAATTAAAGAAACTGATGTAAGAATGAGAGGAGTGGTTAAAAAATGATGTCAGATAGTGACAAAGTTTAACCTTTTTCACAGAAATGTAGGAGAAGATGTGGAAGCAAAATAAAAGGCTACAGAAAGAACTGTCATCATTGATGATAAAAAGGAAAGGCAGGGAATCTTCTCTGCTGCGTAACTCTCTTTTTTCACCATATTGATTGAATGAATCTCAAAAATATCATTAAAATATAAAACAAATACAAAAAATTATTTTCACCCTAAAACGTACCAAACTACAGACAGCGAGAAATACAAAAAACAGAAACAACTCTACAAATTACAACACACAAAAAACTTAAAGAAAAGAGAATAAAAAATAATTACATTACTATTCTGCAAAGCCTCCCCAGTTCCCATGCATGGCTCAAACGTGTAGCAGTAGATTTGAAAAAGAAAACCTTTAAGCACAAAATTACATATAAAATCTCAGAATTTCTTTTTGCCCTCCATATATTTGTTTACATGTTGTACTTTCAGGAAATTAAACCCATAAATTATTCACAGTATTTAAAACCCACATATATTCTGTAGAATTAATCACGGCCTACCAGAAAGAAAAGTTCAAGAATTTGCAGTAATGGGTTTCGTATAAGTAAGAAATTTTGAAGAAAATGCTGTTAAGATAATAATTATAAATTGTCATCACCACTTAACAGAACTACATAAAAAAAGAAGAGAAATTGAAATGGATCTGAATTCTCGAAAGAATTTAGGGAATTACCATTAACCATGACGACCGAAAAGATGGTGATCTTGAGCCACATTGTGGTGAAGATAAAAAAAAAATAAAGGTCTTGAAACCGCCATGTTCTCCCACAGCTTTCTTGAGCTTAATTCCATGGTTAATAGACAGGAAAAGAAGGAACAAGTTCAAGAAAGCTGTGGAAAAGCATGACCAAGACTAGTATTCTCTCTTCTAGTTGCAACAACATCAATATGATCAATCTCCACAGATCTCACTTCACTTCTACTCTTGTTTGTTCCATCCTATATATCTATAAGCCTAGACAGAAGATGAGAGAGAGAGAGAGAGAGAGAGAGAGTTGAAGAGAAGATGAGAAATGGGCATATGCCCATATAATAGAAAAGCCTCAAATATGGACCACTCTAGCATATATAATCTGTGTACCAGCTTTATAGAGAGGGGAAGAGGAAGAGAAGGGGGTGGGGGTGGGGTGAGTAGGGTTCACTCATGAGAGTGCATTTAGATTTTACCCACGAAATGCCTTACTTTCCTATAGTGAGTGCGCAGTGGGGTATATACAATACGTCAGATGGGTAAAGAGAAAATAAATAAATAAATAAATAAATAATAACAATACAATGAAATTAAAAAAAAATTGTTTTTTTTTTTTTTTTTTTTTTTTTTTTAAAAAAAAAAAAAAAAAAAAAAAAAAAAAAAAATTTTTTTTTTTTTTTTTTTTTTTTTTTTTCAAAAAGAACAATATAAAGTAACAAGAACAAAATCCAAAAGTTTAATTACGCGTAAACGTACGAAACATACCCTAATTTAAATTGATAGATTCTTATCGTATCTCGTGAGATTTGTTTGCCTATTGTGATTTGATTTTCAGAACTGCGGTAAAAACAGTACTTAAAATTTAACGGGGAAGGAAAAAATGATGAAATATAATGATCGAGAGAAAAATAAAAGAAAGGTGGGAGAGAAAAATTCAAAAATTTTCAAAAACCATCCCATCCCCATCACATGCCACCATGTGATGAAGATCTCTTTTTATTTTATTGGGATTTAAAGGTATGGGTTGTTTATGGTCCCCCAATCAATATGTTTTTTCCTTTATACATTAAACTTGTATATAATATATATTTGAGTGATGATCATCAATAATGTAATTGTCCGGCTTGTAGATATTTCATATATGCATAGCTAGCAGTTGGGGTCATTCCAGAACCATATGACAATTAATATGTTTCTAGGGAGCCCATGAAATTGCCAATTGAGAAATACTTTAAATGTTTGTGTTCCCTCCAAACTCAAACGAAAACAAAGTATAACTGAAAAGAAGCCAAAACAAAGGGGTGGGGAATTATAATATATAACTTTATTGGCTAACATATACAGTTGTGTACCTTTTTTTTTTTTTTTTTTTTTTTTTTTTTTTTTTTTTAATTCAACTCAATTTGCACACCATGGCTTCTTAATTTGTTTATTATGTGGCCGAAACTACAAGAACATAATAATTGCAATATAGTTTGTAGAGTATGCCAGGCTTGAGTGCTTTCTTTTCATATTCTTGCTAAGGTTCGAGTACTTGATTTGATTTCTAGCCAATCTACAAATGGCTACAATATTTGTTGTGATTTTTTTTTCGTCTATTTGTTTTTGTTATAACATTATGAGAAAACAATAGTAAAACTAAAAAAAAAAAATTTTATCGTGCTGGGATCACCCCAAAGTCAAATAATATAAATTTTTAGTTTTTATAAGGTCTTTCAGCGTTGTCAAATATGGAAGAAAAATATATGCTTTTGAGTGAAAATAGACCAACGGAGAAGACATGTCTCTCCTTCAAAAGAAAAAAAAAAAAAGACATGTCATTTTGCCACGTGTGATGTTTTGTGGCCAAATTCTATCGTTTAGGCCTTCAAATTTTTCCTTTTTTTTAGTAATTTTTGTTTTCGTTATAAGTTGGTCTAGCAATTTCAGTTCCAATTCCGATTGGGTTTCCTTATGCTATATGTTTAATTGTTTCAATTCTTGTTTCTTTTTTTTTTATTATTATTATAGAAAATCTCGTATTTTTATTAATTTGTAACTATAGGATATGTTAAATTTCAGTTTTTAGTTTAGTCATATATTTTGATGGCCTCTTGTAAAGAAAACCACTTACCATTAATAAAATTTCGTGATTTCTCTCTTTTCTTCAATATTTGGTATTCTTCGTGAAATTATCACGAATTTTGCTGTTTCCGATATTCTCTGTGAATTAATAGATATTAAAGCAATTTTGTCTGACATTTTGCGTGGATCAACATGTAAACAAATTTATCTCTTTACTTTTAATTTTTCGGTTTTTCTAATGAGCTTCCGCTACATTACTTTTCATGTTAATAATTAATACATGCATAGCAAAAGAGGTTTAAAAATACCCAAAATGATGTTGATAAGAAGAGTTAGATTGATGGTTGAGTTTTTCTCTCATAATAAAAAAGAAAAATAATTCTTTCAGACAGTAGCATTTAGTTTTTAAAACATTAAATTCCTTGCAAAATAACATTTATCTTTAATAAAACTGTTTGATAATACAAAAATATCCCCTCCAATTACCACATGAGTACCGTGTTTAGCCTCAACAAATAACACTTGATCAAAAGAGAGGTATGCGTTTAAGCGCACTTAACCATGGTCAAGACTGCACTTGACTGTAGCGTAGACTGCTATTAACAACGTTATCGCTTAAATAAAGTTATGTAATGAAATGACACTCAATTCTATTGTTGTTGCAA